GTGAAGGAGAAAATGTTGTCCTTTGTGCCTGTTAACTAGGTGTCTGCAGCTGTTGATATTCTTGGGAGGCCCTTACCCAAAGACCTCAACATCCAGATGGCGCCTTAGCAAGATAGCCAAGCCCCAAGCTGTTTAGGGTTTTAAAGGTCAAAACAAGGACTTTAAATTGGATCTGTTAAGTAGTTGGCAACCAATGAAAGGCTTTCAGCTTATAAACTATTATGCCATGTATTATATCAAATGAAGATGTTGGACCCTCTTCAAGGGTAACCACACATGGATCGCATTGTAGTAGTCAAGGCATGACGTAGCTAAGGCATAGATGACCGTAGCCAGGTTACGTCTGCTTTGAAAGTTTGTTACCTAGTGCACTAAGCAGAGTAATGGGAAGTTAATTCTCATCACCACTGCCCCCTGGGGTCCCCAAAGAAAACACACAAAATCAAGACGCGTTCCCAAATAATAAGTGAAGCCAATCAAGGGAACTGCAACCTAATGAATCCCCAGGTCCGATTTTCTACTGATTACTAGCACCTCTGTCTTGTCAGAACATAATTTCAGCTTGCTTAGCCACACGCAGCTTGTTATCAAGATCAGGAAGTGTTCAAAGGTCCTCACTGTTGCCTTGGTATCCGGTGATAAGAGGCAATAGAAGTGGGTGTCGTTTGCACATTGCTGGCTCCTCATCCCAACATTTCGAATGGCATCTCCCAGCACCTTCATGTAGATGGTGAATAATGCATGGGATGTGTTAGAGCCCCAAAAGACATCATGCACATAGACTGTAGCCATTTCACACCCCTTCCCTCCCACTCTTCCCTGCTCTGCAATTTAGTGAATAATGTTGGGTGAAACAAACTCCCTTTCTTCTCTCAACCAGATAGAAGCCAAGTTCATATCTTCGTCTAGAATCAAATCTTGGAACAATCGGTGTGTCCCCTGAGCAGAAGCTTTCTTAAGAACCCAAAACTCATCACTAGACCGAAGGGGCTGAGGGTTGGGCTGAGCTGAAGAGAAACTTTGGTAGCTGTCTGTAGAAGAGACAGCAGGTGGCTCCCAAATCCAGACGAAGGAGGAGCCCACTTTTTGTCTCAGTTTCTTTCCATTTAGGTCTTTCGGTAGCTGCTGCTCTTTGGTTATGAGAGTTTTCGTACTTGTGTACTGGAATCTGCTGCCATAAACTTTGGTGATGGCTACCAAAGCAAGCACGTTCATGGAGTTTAAGGCTTGGCAATGGTCATAATGACTGTTAGCTGCCTCCATGATCAAAGGCAGCAAACCTCTGGACACCAGTGGCTAGAAAATAACAGTGGGAACAGGCTGGTGGTCTGGTATCCTGTTTGTGGGCTTTGTGTGGGCACTATGTTGGCCAGTGCAGGGAGCAAAGTACTCTACTAAATAGGTCTTAGCTGGCTCCAGCAGAGTTCTCCCAGCTTCCTTACTTTCTGTTATTGTCAGATATAAAGCCGTTTCTGTCTCAAGACCAAGTTGTCTCTCTCCTGCAAAGGGTTCACACAACCACTCTTCTCGAATATGACTCTGCCATGTTGTGCTTTCAGATATGCCTACTATTATTCAGGAATAGGAGCTGCTGTTCTTGTTGCCGCCTACATGCACGTTGCATGTTGGACTCTTGCAGCTGGCCGACAGACCAAGCACATCAGGCAGCGTTTCTTCCATGCCATCATGCGGCAAGAAATTGGATGGTTTGATGTTAATGATGTTGGAGAACTAAACACTAGACTTATAGAGTGAGTACACTGTGTGTCATTAACTCTGTTCTGACTTATGGGGACCTTTTGTAGATGCGAAGGGCTCACAACTGATTTCCCAGTCCCTCGATCTGATTGCAATTTGGTATCATGCAGCTTGCCCAAGGCTGTACTGGTGGCAGGGCTCACAACTCTCAGCCAAAGACCATGAGCGGTTGGCCCCTCTCCTGGAAGGCACTGCAGGCATACCAACCTATTGAACAATGCCAGTACTTATTGCTTCAGTAGAGAACCTAATTTTAATTTACTAACTGGACTGATCTTTTTAAAGAAAGTTGAGATTCCCAATGTCCTGATGTGACTTCATGCATTAGGGTTTTAAAGTACATTTCCAGTATTACTGAACTCATATTTTAAATGAGGAGGTACTGCAGAAATAAAGAGTATAGATAGCCAATATTGTAGATATGAAAGCCATTCAGTGTCGGAGGAAGATGGCTAAGGTAATTTTTCATGTCTGAGAAGTCAGAAGTCAAAGGAATCCTGTGCCTACATTCTGAAGACCAATGATTAACCAGAGTTAATTTGAAACTTTGAGGCACTTCCTGTGACACTTACACACAATCAGCTCTTAAGGAATTTTCTCATCTGCTGATAGATGTCTATGACATATGTTTTTGCTGTCATATCAGAGTTTCGTAGTATGTATGAAATATGTATTCAAAGTGTGTTGTAAAACTACATTTGAAGTATCTTAGAAAAGCACCATAGTAGCATTTCCCCTCAATAGAACTTTAAATGGTTTACCTTAAATTCTTTCTAGTGACATCTCCAAAATCAATGATGGAATTGGTGATAAAATGGCAATGCTGATTCAGGGAATAGCTACATTTATTGCTGGATTTGTTGTCGGGTTTATTAAAGGATGGAAACTGACTCTTGTCATACTGGCCATCAGTCCTGTTCTGGGGCTCTCAGCTGCCGCCTGGGCAAAGGTCTGTATAATTTGGGTGAAATGTGAGGGAATCACAGAATTATTTTGTTATGAAAATGGCATTACCACTGCTCATAACTGAGTTCTCCATTACTTCTGGGTTTAATTACATAAAGCAGAGGCCCCCAGTCCCCGGTCCACAGCCCAGTGTCAGTCCGTGGCCTGAGCCGGACCAGGGGTGTGGAGACAGACCTCCCGTCCCACCACCTGCACACAGTCACCCCCGCACAGCTGATTTGCACATGCACGCTCACTCCAGGGCACCGTGTGAGCACCACACTGCCATTTGTGCATGCATGCGTGGGCATGCAGAAACGCCGTGCCACCATTTATGCATGTGCATGAGCGAGCTCCCACAGAAGGGCCATGCTGCTGTTTGTGTATGCACATGTGCATGTGCACACTCATTCGTGCATGTACACAAGTGCAGGGGGTGCCCCACCTTCCCCATCTGGTCCGCGGGGTGGAAAAGGTTGGGGACCCCTGACGTAAGGCAAACATAACTAATCAACTGGGTTCAGATTTAGCCAAACATAGAGTACAGAATTAGGTGGTCTTAAGATAGTAATTATTAATTTAAATCGCAGTGATTTAACTTTATATTTAACATTTAACCCATTTTTAAGTCTGGATCCCAAACAATGTGTTGTTTAAGATCCATATTCAGAGAGCAGCAGGTCATTCTCGGGGATGGGGTGGGATTTTTCTGCAGGAAGCGATGGCATATTTAGTGGGAAATCTGTGGCCCTTGAGCGGCCTTCACCAACCTGGCGCTTATGTTTTCTGGTGGGCAAGCTGACTGAAGCCCATGGAGATTGTATTTATTATTTATTTATGTATTTAAAATCATAATAACCTGCCTTTCTCCTGAAGAGCGCTCAGGGGGGCTTACAGTTTTAAAAAGGAACAATCTTAAAGTTGGAAGGGGGAAAGGACAACCAAACCAAACCAAACAGCAGCCCCCTCCCCCCCAAAGGAAAACGCCTGCCTGAAGGGAAAAGTCTTTGCTTGCCTGCGGAAGGACAGCAAGGAGGGGAATATAAGAATGGGAAGTTAGGGAAGGCTGTCTCTTTGTTGCTGGACCTCCGCACCCTGAATGTAAGAATTGCACAGTAGTGAGACGGTCGGTCCAAAATGGTTCTGAACTTGTCTCTCTCTTGTCTCCTGAGTATAGCAGGATACTCAGTATTTGACAGGGATTGTATGTCAGCCTTATGTGTGGTGGTTTTTTTTTAAATAGAGAAGTACAGCTAAAGGGAATGAAATGGATGCCTGATCTCACAGGGAATTGTTGAAAACCCTAGAACTGATCGGGCTGGTCCTAGCATTCGGCATTGGGAGGCTTCTGCCCCAAGCAGGCAGTGTGGGGTTTCATAAGAAGGCAGGCGATAGTTAGCTATTTCATCTATGATGATTGTCTTATTGCTCCATGCGGTCCAGGGCACCAGACATTTTCTTCCTCAGGCACCAAAATAACTTGTCTGGCCTTGGATATAGGGTGCTTTGCTCTCGGGAAGGAGAGGGCACTATGAGCTGGTTTTTCTCAGACAGCAAAATGTCCTCGCCTCGCCCTGGAACTGCACTCTTTCCTTTCCTGCAGGTCCTAACTGCATACACAAACAAGGAGCTTGCTGCATATGCAAAAGCTGGATCCGTTGCTGAGGAGGTTTTATCAGCCATAAGGACGGTGGTTGCTTTTGGAGGACAGAACAAAGAAATTGAGAGGTCAGGGAACTGCCCTTTTTCATCCCTTCCCCTTCTTCTTTTTTTTTAAAGCCAGCCACTCTAGAGATCTCTTGTACATCTGGGTGTATTCAGGACTCTGTGTTTAACTGCTTCCAAACAGAACACTAGATTCTGGAACCTTTCAGTAAATTGTACTGAATTTTAGTGAGGCCTACATGGCCAGCAGCATTTTTTAACATTCTGATTGAGCATTGAAACTTTCTCTGTCCAGCTACTTTTGTCTGCAGATAATTGGCATATACTGCAATCAGATCCAAGGGTTTCTCTGTACTGCCTTACACTGGTAAGGCTGCACCTGGAGTATTGTGTACACTCAGTTCTGGTTGCCGTACCTCAAAAATGACATTGTGGAACTGGAAAAGGTGCAGAAGATAGCGATTAAAATGATGACTGGGCTGGGGCACCTTCCTGATGAGGAAAGGCTAAAGTGTTTGGGGCTCTTTAGAAAAGGCCCCCTGAGGGGGGGACCTGACTGAGACATAAAATTATACAGGGGATGGATAAAGTGGATAGAGGGAAGCTCTTTTCCCTCTCACACAATATCAGGGGACATCCACTCCAACTGAGTGTTGGGAGTGAGAACAGACAAAAGACAATACTTCTTTACACAGCGTGTTTGTAGTCTGTGGAACCCCTTGCCACAGAATGTGGTGATGGCATCTGCCCCAGATGCCTTTAAAAGGGGATTGGACAGATTTCTGGAGGAAAAGTTGATCACAGGTTACAAACCATGGGGATGTATAATCTCCAGGCGTAAAAGGAAGCTACCTGAAAATACAATGGAGGGGTACCAGGAGACAGGTATCGAGTTGTCTTGTGTGCTCCCGGGGGCATCTAGTGGGACCACTGTGAGATACAGGAAGCTGGACTACATGGACCCTTGGCCTAATCCAGCAGGACTCTTCGTATGTAGACAGCCTAAGCCTGGGTAGTCAAGCAATGGTAGCTAGGCTGACCCATATTTTACAGTATTTGAAACTCCTTCCTGCTAATTCTGTGAAGCAATGGCAGCTAGGCTGACCCACATTTTATTTGAAACTCCTTCCTGCTAATTCTGTGTTTGCATAGAATGGTTTCTGTAGAGTGGTGGGAGTGACTTTCTCCTTATGGCCACAGTTTCATTAGCAAGACATGCACATGTGAGTGGACAGAAAATGTTTTCTACAGGAAAACTGCCTAAATAATCAAAACTGAGAGAAAATGCTTTTCAGCTAGGCTGACCCACATTTTATTTGAAACTCCTTCCTGCTAATTCTGTGTTTGCATAGAATGGTTTCTGTAGAGTGGTGGGAGTGACTTTCTCCTTATGGCCACAGTTTCATTAGCAAGACATGCACATGTGAGTGGACAGAAAATGTTTTCTACAGGAAAACTGCCTAAATAATCAAAACTGAGAGAAAATGCTTTTGGCTGTCCAGTATAGACTTATTTCAGTTATTGTTTGCTGTTCTTTCTTCAGGTATCATAAAAATCTAGAAGATGCTAAAAACATTGGAATCCGCAAGTCTATCACAGCCAGCGTTTCCTTGGGTCTTGCTTTCTTATTAATATATGCATCCTATGCATTGGCTTTCTGGTATGGAACTACTTTGATCCTAGATGAACATTACAGTATTGGGGGAGTCCTCACAGTAAGTGTTGGTGAACAGTTGTGTTATTTTCTTTTAATGGCCACATTCAGCACTGCTCAGAATAAATGAGGATCAGGGAGTCAGTGGGAATCAAAAATAGATTTGCAAATTAATTTTTGTATATGAAGTCATGTACAATCTCTGGGAAGGTCTCTTGAACAAGGCTTCATGCAACCACTTGGCAGATAATTCATTACTAAATTATGCAAATCTTCTGGCATAGATAGCATTAAAAAATTAGATCAGTTCATGGAGGGTAAGTTTATCTATGGCTGTTAACCAAGAACCTCTGCCTTCAAACCAGATCTTAGGATTCTGTACTTTTGGACTATAATTCTCAGAATCCCCCAGGCACCTCGTGGGGGATTGTGTGATTTGTAGTCCAAAATGAACTCTTCCAACATATATATTTCCAAGCCACCTGCGTTTTCTAATATTGGATTAGATGGACCTTTAATCTTAGCGGGAAAGACTATTGTGCTTTTACAAAATGAATAGGAATTGTGAAAGGTCAACTGTGGTTTGCACGGAAGGGGATTTTCCTGGCGGATTATGCCTGTGCATCAAATCTCTTCTTATTTTGTTCTTGGGAGTTGGAAAGTTAACCTTTGGACAATAGCTCCCAGAATCCTCTTGCCACCATCACCATATTGGGAGCTGTAGTTCCAAGCTCTCCCCATTCTTGCTATCCTTATAGACTTCTAGTGTCTGCCATCCTGAGGAAACTACTCTGATGTGGCTCATAAAAGCCCCCCCCTCCGTGTTTCATCCTAGCCATATATCTTAGTTAGCACCTACTTATTTGTTCATCCCAGTCCTTTCCTTCTTCCTCCTTCCACATCTACCTGCTTAACCTGGTCTGTTTGCTGGATCCATGCCTAGTTGTCCTCAGATTTCCTGACCTCTCCTTAACTTCTGACTTCAGTTTCCACCAGTTCAGCCACTCTGAGTATGTTCTGGGCCTCTCCCTTGACACAGGCCTGAACTTCCTTTCATTGTGCAGCCCAGTGTTATGTCAATACAGTTCCCCTGCCAATTTCCAAGTGACCAGGAAAGTCAGAAGAGTCTGTATATTATGATTTGGGGCAGTTATACAGATCTTCTCCTGCTCCTATATTGGCCTGGCATTAAAAGGATATAAAACTGAGCTGGGAAGAGACACTCCAAAGCACTTTAAATCTTCCTTCTCTTCCCTCCAATTGTTGGAGAGACACTTAGCAAAAACAGCACAACTGAACACATATGAAGCTACTCAGAGCCTCAAATGTAATATTTTGGGGGAGGTATTGGGATTTTTTCCAGTTATTGTGAGGACGGAACCTAAACGTTTTTGTTAATTAATTCAGTCATCTGCCTTCAAGACAATTTCAGCTTATGGTGATCCTTCCTAGGGTTTCCCAGCTAGAACGTCCTCAGAAATGGTTTAACATCTTCTTCTGGTGATGCTCTAGGACTGTGCAGGTCACCCAAGGCAACATAGGCTAGCTGTCCTCCTGGGAGGCACAGTAGGGAACTGAGCTTCCAACCCTTGGCAGTGGAACCAGGCATTTTAACACACTGAGCTATCCAACCAGCTATATCAGCTCAAGACAGTCCAAAACATATAGACCACTATCCTGATAGGTCCATAGGTATTACATCTTTAATAGATCCCTCCAGTTTCTGGTTCTATGAATGAGTTTCAGGAAGTGTGTTCCTTCCCTCTCTGTGTTTGTTATTGGCTTTGACCTCTCAACAGTTTTACTTGTTGACCTTCAACCACATCACAGTTATGTGATTTGGAAATTCTTAGGGCAAAATGAATGACTGTTGATAAAGATCTTTATGTTTTGTTTCATAAATATTTCCCTTAGGTCTTCTTTGCTGTACTAATAGGAGCATTTGGCATTGGACAAGTGACTCCAAACCTAGAATCGTTTGCAGTTGCAAGAGGAGCTGCTTATGCAATATTCAATATCATAGACAATGTAAGTATCCCTTTTAGAACCATAGCTTGACATTATGGAGAGACAGGAAGTCTGAGGTCTGTTATAATTTTATAATCATCAATGGCCAGAATCCAAAAGTGGAACTTGTTTTATGTAAGACAAACCCAGGACATCTTGAAACAGCACCTCATTTCAGGGGGCAAAGCACATCGGATAAAAGATATACAGCTGCATCAGGAAATGAGAAAAGAAGCTTATGATGTGGTGTTGGGCATCAGCTATTGGGCTTGGATAATAAAAAAATCAAAATCAGTTAGGGAATTTTAAAGATTATCAAGTTTATTCCAGTGTGGACTTTTGTGGAATACCCTCCATTTGCACTTGATGAAGTGGAATATAATGCGCAAAAGCTGACCCCGAATTAAATTGGTTCATCTTTAATGCGCCACAATTCTTATGTTTATTGTTTTTCCAAACAGACTGAAAAAGGACTAGTAGGGGTCACTCTTCAAAAACCCAGCTTCCCAGATGAAGACCTTTTACAACATTGACAGCAAACTTATGTTTGTAATGTTTTTAGTAGTCTAATAAAGTGTCACCCACCCTCACCTTTAGATTGTGTAGGACCACACAGCCTTTAGAAAGAAAATTGTGATAGGTCAAGATACACCTAGCCTGGCATCAGGATTAGCACAGGTGGAAGGATGACTCTTCAGAGTGGAGTAGGCTGAAAGTTATAAATGACAAAATAGACAATCACTTTCGTTACACATCCCTTGCATGTTATTTTGCTATGTAAGAGTTTAAGTTTGCAAAATAATTATGGTAAACTCCAGATTTTATTTATATGTGATTTTCTTTTATTTAGGAACCTCACATCGACAGTTTTTCAGAAGCTGGTTATAAACCTGACAAAGTGCAAGGAAATCTGGATTTCCAAAATGTATTTTTCCAATACCCATCAAGACCAGATGTACAGGTATCGTAAATTGTCCAGATCATAAATTAAACCAGTATAGATGCACATTTGCCTAAAGTTGTCATGTACAAAGTTGTCAATGTATAAAGCATCATTGTGTCTTCCTTGGTTTGCACATTTGCCTAAAGTTGTCATTTGACCTTCTGTATAAAGCATCATTGTGTCTTCCTTGGTGGGCGTTTGACAAAAAAGGGAAAAGCAGCAGAAGCAGATCAGACCTTTTGCAAGATTTCAGCATGAGCAGATTGCAGATTCCCATTATCCATCTCCAGTGGCTGTACTTGTTACAGTTACTGAAGTCCAACGAGATGGCCATAAATTGCTCATTCCTATTCTAAGAGCATTGATAGTGTGTAATTATTGCAGAGCAGTATACCATTTATTGTGTCTAATCCATGTTTTTATTCTTTCTCATACAGGTGTTAAAAGGCTTGAATCTGAAAGTTAACAGTGGCCGGACCGTGGCCCTGGTAGGCAGCAGTGGTTGTGGGAAAAGTACCACAGTCCAGCTTATACAGAGGTTTTATGATCCTGTGGAAGGCATGGTAAGAGACTCCATCCAACCTAGGACAGTGCACCAGATTTGAACAAATCACAAGTTCTAGATGAAACCAGCCTGATTTGGAATAATTAATGTAAGATTCAGGTCAAACTGAGATGGCCAGACTCAGTTGCAGGATGAAGTGAAGCGTAACTTGCAAACTGATTTTGACTTGGGGTGAAAACTGAATCAAGGGAGCACAAATTCCTTCAACAAACTTGTGTTTTCAACCAAGCTTTAAAGCAGCATAAACTGCAAACCCCTGGAATTAGCAGTCTAAAGTTTGGGAGGGTTTGCTTATCATGTCTCCAAACTTGAAATATATCAGGGAAAAAATCCAAAAACGACACAGCCATGTTGTATTTCTAATGCAATGACTTCACAAATTTGCAGACTTTAAAAACTGATTGGAGTGTAGGGCAGCAATCATTCTGAACTTGATGTGGAATAGATTCACAAGGTCCATATTGGCCACTAATCTAAATATAGGGACTCATGCACTACCCTTCAAATGCCATTTTGCCTTAAACATTGCCTGTCTTCTGTAGAATACAACACATGCTCTGGGATGGTCAAACTGAGGTGGCTTGGGGATCAGAATTATGCCCCTGGGCTCCTCCATGAGCTGCAGGAATCCCCAAAATTGGTGTTTTCAATCTTTAATTTGAAGAGGTAAACAGGAAGATGCCTCCCTCCTTTAGAAGTAGGGTGGGTGTGGGGTTTAGTGAATTCTCTTGAAGTTCCAGGAAGTGAAACCTGCTGCTTCTGGAGATTTTTGAGAATAGAAAATCTAAATGTTGGTAATTTGTAATACTTTCCCACTTTTAAGGGGGCTTTGGGGTACTGCAAAAATGTCCTTGGGGCCACCAGCCTCTCATGGAGCCCAGGCCAGCTTTACTCTCGTGTCTTCTCCCCATATTTTTATCCAAAGAATCCTTTCTCTTCCCACCTCTGCCCATCACAACCTTTTACCACTTGTGTACTGCATCTATGTCAATGTTTTCACTTGACTTTTTTGCCCTTCTTTTCTATTCCAGCTGTGCAACAATATTTATCCTGAATTCCACTTGGAATACCTGTTGCATGATTGTGTTTTATTTTAGGTCACCATCGATGGGCAGGATATAAAGACCCTGAATTTAAGATACCTGAGGGAGATTATAGGTGTGGTAAACCAGGAGCCTGTGCTGTTTGCAACCACAATTGCAGAAAATATTAGATATGGTCGGGAAGATGTCACCATGGAAGAAATGGAAAAAGCTGTCAAGGAAGCCAATGCCTATGACTTCATCATGAAATTGCCCAATGTAAGCAACCCTACTATCATCTGTTTACATGGTGGGTGGGAAATTTGTGGCCTCAAGATAAGACTAGACTGAAGCTCCCAGGAACCATCCCATTCACAAGATGGTCCAGCAACATCTAAAGGGGTACATGTTGACCACCGCTGTTCTAAGCCTTCAAATTACAGATTAGACTAGAGGTACATCAAGCACAAATAAATAATTGCATGAAAATTGAAAGAAGACTCTACACCTGCCTTCTTCAGGCTATGGCTATGCTGGATGGGGATAATGGGAGTTGAAATCCAACACATCTGGAAGGTGCCAGGCTAAGGAAAGCTGCTCTACACGTCTTTCTAAAGTTAGGATAAAATTTAACAGAGTCCTGGATAGAGGGAAGAGGAACTGCAGTAGGAGGCCAGAGAGGATGATATCAACCAGTCCGGATAATATTTTGACTCTCCTTAAATGCAGTCTTCTTTGTCTTAAGTACAATATGTGGTGCATCTGCTTTTATAGTTTTCATGAGAAAAAGCTGTTTCAACATTGGTGTGTTTACTGAGATGTGCTTATGTAGGTATTTAAGGAGACCCAAGGAGAAAATGGTGGAAAATTCTTAACAGTTATAGTTTTGAGTGCCCCTGAGCAGATTTAGACCATTTCCTCCACTACTGCATGGCTTCTGTCTTCCCAGCCTCTTAGAATTAAGAACCGTGAAAATACTAATCCGGTATAATCATATGAAGAGAGAAACACCCCTCCCATCTCTTGCATTAGCACAGTTCTGATCTGCATTCTGTTCACTTCATTTCTGATTACTTTGATGAAGCAGTGTCTGTTTCATGTCGCATCTAGTGAATATAAAAGAAAAATGTCCCTCTCTCATGCTGGTGTTTCTGTTATGATCAGCAACTTCTATAGACTACTGATGACAGGACAGGTGGGAGCAACCATCTTGGAATTCTGAGGAAATGTTCATTGCTGTAGTGGAAGTGTAGGCTTTTGCCCCGACAGTCTCCACCATCATCAGATACAGAGCATCTAAAACCAGAGGTAGCTGGATCAGTCCTTAGAAACAAATGAGGAGCAGTTTTTTTAGTAAAATTGATGGCTCTTTGTTTTTGTTAAGTGCCATCAAGTTGGAACCAACCTATAGTCATCCAAATAGGGCTTTCAGGGTAATAGACATGTAAGGAATTGTTTTACCAGATCCATTATATCTCTGGTGATATCCTCTGCCTTTGATGTCCCTTCCTTTGTTTACTGCCCATGGCTCAGAAATAATCTTTCTGAACATTCATTGCTGGCTATAGCTGCGTAGAATCAATCAACTGCATTTTTTACAGCTAGTAACATTGTGAGTAAATGTTAATCTGATTGGCCTCATTAAGTTTTCATGTTAATGATGTTTAGCTCTCATTGGGTCAAAAGTTACAAAGTTAACTGAACTAATTAAGACATAAGTAGCTTATTTGAAGATTTGGGTGCACTCTGCTGATTTTCAACATGTGTGGCCCAGGTATTGTTCCAGGACAGGTGTAATTGCTGCAAGGAAAAAACTCACACCACATTTATTTCTTTAACATATTTCCCACTTACCATTCAATCAAAATTCCCTAGGTTGGCTTACATCCAGAGCCAAGAAAGGGGACTGTTTGTTATAATTCAAAATAGCAACCTTTCCAAGTACTCTTTCTTTCTTTCTTTCTTTCTTTCTTTCTTTCTTTCTTTCTTTCTTTCTTTCTTTCTTTCTTTCTTTCTTTCTTTCTTTCTTTCTTCATAAAAACAGAGTATAGGTCATCTAAAAGAACTAACTGACACTCCATAATTCCACACTGCTGCATAGAGATACTATACTATGAGGAAAAAATTATATTATTAGCAGCCAAGGAGAAATGTTGTTTTTCACAGATATAAGAAAAGTTGGCTTTCTGGAATAACAGCCCTGTGAATTTCATAGCCAGCATTATACACAAAAATGAAGAAAAGTTGCAACCCAAATGGGCAGAAAAGAGGTTTGCATAAAATTTACAAATATTGAGGCATATCCTTCCATGCAGATTTGGAAGTTACTTAAATAGACATCCTGACAGAAACGGTGGAGAAGGAAGTGACAAGGTGACCTGCTGCTCTGAGTGCTAACTTTCTGTTGACTTGCAACAAGTTCAAGGTCCTCATTTATCCTCCCTTTTATGGTTCTTTATCTTTTTAACCAGACTCAGGTTGGGCAGCTTTTGACAACAACAACTTTGCTCAGCTCTGATAGATGAAAGTGCATCCGAGTGTTTTTCTGTCTTGCAGAAATTTGAGACGCTGGTGGGAGAAAGAGGGGCCCAGCTAAGCGGAGGCCAAAAGCAAAGGATAGCTATTGCCCGAGCCCTGGTTCGGAACCCCAAGATTCTTTTGCTGGACGAAGCAACCTCGGCTTTGGATACGGAAAGTGAAGCTGTGGTTCAGGCAGCTTTGGACAAGGTCAGCCTTGACTAAACAAACTTAAATCAGCTATCCTCAAGCTGCTGCCCTCTGGGTGTGCCGCCCATTAGAATGGGGGTGGAAATTGTTGGCCCATCCATCCGAATGGGACAGCAGCTTTACATAACAGGAAATGAATGGCTTTTTAAAATAATCAAATAGGATTGTCTTCAGTGATACACAGCAGAAGCTGTACAGTAGGTCTTCCTGGCCCCATCCACCCCACTGCAGTCTCCTGTGCTTCTAACGCCTGCCCCACACACCCCCATAAGGGTGGTGGAATGCTGAGGGAAGCCTGATGATGGGTTAAAGGCCGTGGCCTGCAGGGTAAAGAGGGATTTACCTCTTCCAGATATAGGGAGAATTGCCTTTTTGGACTCCCAAATCTTTCAGTGTGAAAGCATCTCACACACACACACAATTTTACCCCAAAAGAGGACCCCCAGGATTTGCATACAATTGGAACGTGCTAATACATACCCTTCCACGCAAAGAAAAAAGAAATTAGAAACAGGGGGTGGGGAGTCTTGTAGCAAGGTATCCTGCTGTTCAAATGTGGAATGAGATTCCCTCTCCTCCCACCTCACCTCTGATTTAAGGACAAAACGAATGGAATGCTAAATATAGCTTTAAGGGTTGGGAAAGACTTTGAACTTGGATATGTGTGATATTCTTTCTTCCCTTTCTTGTCTAGCAGTAACATAGCCAATTAGCTTCAGGCCAAATCAGTTCAATGTACTAAAGAACACTGCTGGATCGCAGGGTTAGAAATCCAGGTTCAACAACCTGTGCAGTTGTACCAACAGATTCTCTGGCAAATCATTATCTTTTATTGCTCAGGTTTATGAAAAAAAAAATTAGATGCTTTGTATCCTGGAAAGACAATGTGCAAGGTACCCCTCTGTCATTCTCATTAAATTAGAAATGACTGTGCAGTATTAAAATAAGAAAAAAATTAGAAAGGCTAAAGATCAATGGTAGAGCACATGCTTTGTGTACAAACTGTCCCAGCTTCAACCTCCTGCAGCCTCGGGGAGGGCTGGGAAAACTACTGTTCGAAACCACAGAGAACTGCTGACAACATCTATACTCTGGTGGATATCATGCGGCCGTCTAGATGTTGCTGGAGTCAGTGGAGGCTGCCGACTTAAATGGCATGCAGGTGGTGAATCTGTTCCGAATTTTAGTTTCAACTTTAAAGGACATCTCCAAAGTGTTGAACCTATGTGGGGGATAGAGGTCATCACTTTGGAAAGCTGCTCTAAAGTTCAGACCAAATCTCGGGGCAGCTTCACTGTGACATTGGAATCACCAGCAGGGATGGGATTTTTGGATTCCTTGTACTACAGGTCCCATAGTGCTCCATTCTGGGAGTTGTAGTTGACAGATAGATGTGGCTTACCTAGTATCCTGTTCAGAAAGAAAGCTCCCAGCTAGCACGGGATCAGGAAGAGGAAGCTGCGGCCAAACTAGGCCTAGTTAAGCCTCAAAGCCTTCTAGTTGAAGCCTTTCTCCCAAGTGACCTACATTTAGATATCTGTCTGGTACGACTTCCAGAATGGAGAATTATGGGAATTGGATGTGGTGGCGCTGTGGACTAAACCGCAGAAGCCTGTGCTGCAGGGTCAGTCGTAAGATCGAATCCACGCGAGGGAGTGAGCTCCCGTCGCTTTGTCCCACCTCCTCGCGAACCTAGCAGTTCGAAAGCATGTAAATGTGAGTAGATAAATAGGTACCACCTCAGTGGGAAGGTAAAATGGCGTTTCCTAGTCACACTGGCCAGGGGACAACGGAAACTGTCTTCGGACAGGCGCTGGCTCTATGGCTTGAAAAGCGGGATGAGCATCGCCCCTTAGAGTCGGACACGACTGGACAAAAATGTCAAGGGGAACCTTTACCTTTACTAGTCCAAGAAATCAGAAAATCCCATCCTTAGTCAGCAGCCCTCTCCTTGTTGGAGAGCAACTCCCATCACTCCTAGGCAAGGATGAAAGGAGTTGCACGTCAGCCTAGCAACATCTGACGAGCCACAACTTCCTCCTTGTGGGTGTAAACATTACTGAGCTAGATGCCCCTCTGGCCCAGCTAAGTAGAAGGCAGCTTCCTTTGTCCTGACCACTTCTTCACCTTCGAGAAGCATCTTCTTCATGTTGAGCAATGCTAACAGTGCAGTCCTGTGCATAGATACCCAGAGGTATGCCTCATGGAATTCCATGGGACTTATTTCCAAGAAGGTGGGTATATGATGTCTACTGGGGCTCTGTGTGGGCAAAAAACGGGTGAACATGCAACTGTTTCATCTGAATCTTTCTGTGTGTTGTTGGTTTTTAAGGCAAGGGAGGGCCGCACAACAATCATCATTGCTCATCGTTTGTCTACTGTGCGAAATGCTGACCTTATTGCTGCTTTTGAAGACGGGGTCATCACGGAGCAGGGGTCTCATCATGAACTTATGAAAAAGCAAGGAGTTTATTTCAAACTGGTTAATATGCAGGTATTAATTAGTTCATGTGCTCCTTCTGTCTTCTAAGATTTAAATGAGTCTTGAACTTGCACTCCATACAGGTTTTGTGTCCTTATGCCTTCCTACCTGGTTGCTTGCTCATTCATTCATTCATTCATTCATTCATTCATTCATTCATTCATTCATTCATTCATTCATGTGTCCCTTTTTCTTCTTCTTCTGAGCTCAGAGGAGCATATATGGCTCTCCCCTTCCTTTCAATTTCATCCTCACAGCAACTCTGTGAGGTGGGTTAGAACTTCAAAAATCTCTTTTGTCTATTAATTCTGCCCTGCAGCAATCTTTTGTATCTCTAGTAGAGCCCAGATTACTGTGCAGATCCTTTTGCAAAGGTGCAGTGTTCTGTCACTACCTGAAGTCATAAGTTAGGCCAGACAAAATAACACACAGAGAGGCATGCCATTGATGAAGAAAAATAGGAAATTTGGAGTATCTATAGGGAAGACTCCCAAAGTGTTTTTCTCCCAGGATAGCTTTGTAAACGAAGAGTAATTCCGAATAATTAAGACAAGTTAAAGCTACATTAATCTTCCTTTAAGCCTTCCTAATTTAATTTGTGTTCATTACAAATAAGCAGCTCTGTTAATTCCTTGAAGAGGTACTTTCACCTGCAATTCTCTTTCTGAGTAAACCTGCCTAAAATTCTGGTTTCAGCTACACTGAAATTCCCCAACATTCCTCTGGTCTAGGGCTGAGTAAACTGGAGGACCTAGATGTTATCATCTTTCCATTCCCAGCAGCCATAGCCAGCATAGCCAAGGGTGGAACATCCTGGAAGTTGCAATCCAACAACATCAATCCATACTTTCCCCACCCTGGATCTGGGACAGTGATTCCTGATCTTAGTTCCCCAGATGATCTTGGACTAAATCTCCCCGGAGTTGTAGTCCAAGAACATCTGGGGACCCAAGGTCGGGAAGCACTGATCTAGGAGCATGTGTAGAACAAAATGAAGTCTCACTTGTGTCCCTATTTTGAATGGTGACAGCATTGTGGGTTTTTGTATAACTGGAAATTACAATGACCATCTTTTTTTAAAAAAAGAGAGAGGGCTTCTGTACTTTTAACAGGTGTACACCAGAGGAAATTGCAGCAGGTGTAATTTTTCTACACAACTATTAAAGGCACAGGACAACATCCCTTTTTTTGAGAATCAGTGTGGTGTAGAGTGACTAACCAGGACTCGGGAGGTCTGTGCTCAAATCCTTGGTTAGCCAAGGCATGTTTACTCACTGTGGGATGGCAATGGCAAATCTGGTCTTTATAAAGTGCTAGACAGGCATCTGACTGTGGTGCCAGATTTTGGAGTTCTGTTCCCAGCTATGCCTCCTTAACAGGGACTCGATTTGATGATCCATAGGATCACTTCCAACTCTGCAGTTCTAAGATTATTAAATATTACAGTGGTGCCTTGCTAGACGATGATAATCCGTTCCACTGAAATCGCTGTTTAGCGAAATCATTGTCTCGCGAAAAGCATTTCCCCATTGGAATGCATTGAAACCTGTTGTTGTTTAGCGAAGATCAGCCATTGGAAAGCCAATTTGTGAACCGCCCATCAGCTGTTTAAATCGCTGTCTTGCGAAGCTTAGGTCCCGAAAACACCTGTTTTGCGAGTGCGGAGGAAGCTGTCAAAATCGCTGTCTAGTGAAAATCGGTTTGCGAAGCAGGGACCAAACATTGTCCAGCGAAATTCCCCCATAGGAATCACTGTTTTGCGAATCACTATAGTCAATGTCTAGCGAAAAAACTGTCATGCAGGGTAACTGTCTAGCGAGGCACCACTGTATTATTATTCTGCCTCACACTTGAAAACCCTGTTAGGGTTACCATGAGTCAGATATGGGTTAATGGCACATAATAGCAATGCTACATTTACAGTAAACTTCCCCTTCATGCTTGGGCCATTTTGTAGTTATTTATGACTTGTTAGAGGCAATTCCTCTTTCAGTAGCAATCAAAAAACACTGTATTCCTCCCATACGTTTCCAACTGCAACAGCAGTTGGTACCCACTAATTGAACAGGCATGACCCTCTCTGGGCCATTTTGTAGTTATTTATGATTTGTTACAGGCAATTCCTCTTTCAGTAGCAATCTGTGAAGCGCTTTAAAAATCAAAAAACGCTGTTTTCCTCCCATACATTTCCAACTGCAACAGCTAACTATTTGATGATACCCACTAATTGAACAGGCATGACCCTCTCACAATGTTTGTTCTTTTTCCAGTCAATTGAAACTGAAATTCAGTCTGAAGAGACGGGTGAAAATGGTCCAGGTTTCCAAAAGGACATGGCAAAAGAAGCACTAAAAGAAACCACTTCAAATGGACTGAGAAGACGTTCTACTCGCAAGAGTGCCAAAAAAACAGAAGCAGAAGAAGAAGATCTGGAGGTTCAAACTGTTCAGCCTGTAAGTGGTGTGGCTCCCGAGAGCTACAGTTCAGTGGCAACCACGCTAATTATATTTTGCTTGAGAAACTGCAACAGAACATTGCAGCATAAGAGTTTCTCTGTTCAGTGTTCAGCCATTCAGGTTGCGATGCCCTCCTCAACCCTCAGTTCTCCTTTCTATTTCCCCTCTCCTGTCTCAGTTAGTATTCTGTGGCTAGTAAGCATGCTCTATTCTCATTGGACTGTTTTTTGGGGGGGAGGGAGAAATATTTTTCTTTCTTCCTTTTTAGTCTGTGAACCTTGGGGTTTCTCCATTCCTATTGATACCTCCACTTTGTCTTGGGATATCCCATTTAAGCTAGGCAGGCGATGAACTGCTCAAACCATGAACATGGGGATTATTTTCATTCCATACCAGGATAAGCATTTACAGATCTTGATCTCCATTTGCCAAACTAGATTTTACTTTCTTTTCGCATTTCTTGTGTCTTGTCTTGTCTTTTCTTCTCTCTGAAAAACTACAACTTAGAATTGGGCCTTCTTGATGGTAGCTATGAAGCTATGGAATTTAGTGAGTGAGCGAGTGAGTGAGTGAGTGCAAAACTGTAAACTCTGAGCAGTTTACAGAGCCAAGAGTACTGGCTTGCCACTAGATGGGTAGTATCTAAACTGACTGACTGACTGACTGACTGACTGACTGACTGACTGACTGACTGAATGAATGAATGAATGAATGAATGAATGAATGAATGAATGAATGAATGAATTCTCTTTTCTCTCCTTAAAATTGATCTGTGCAATTTCTGCTAATGGGTGCTGACCACTTTGGTTTCAGCTTTTATATTTGGACTTGTTTGTGTTTTCTTGTTTTGTCCCACTGTTTCTCCAGTTGCCTCTATTGTGTGATATTCTTTCTTCCCTTTCTTGTCTAGCAGTAACATAGCCAACAGCATACATAATGTTGCTGGATAACTCAGTGGTTTAGGTAGGAGGTTGGGAGTTTGATTGCCCACTGTGCCTTCTGTGAAAGGAGCCAGCCTGCCTAATCATGGGTAAGCTGCCCAGTCCCAGAACACCCCCAGAAGAAGTGAATGGCAAACCACTTTTCAGTATTCTCTACCTAGAAAACTCTGCTTGATGTCGTCATCATCCCTTGTTGAGGTGGAGGGCCTTACATGCTTCAGTGAGGCTGAGAGCTATGTTGAAGGGTCTTCCAAGCCAGTCAGGTCTCAACTGAGAAGCCAGACCAACTGCGTCCACCAACCATCAATTATGATGAGAGGAAATAAACAGATACCGGATCTGTCGTTGGCCAGGTCAACAAGGTCAACAAGAACTGTGTCAGATGCTATAGCTCCTGGGCATCTGTTGACAAATGGGCTACAGAGATCAGCAGACCCTGTTGAGGAACCAGGACAGGCTACTGCAAAGCTACTCCAACAACATAAACACAAAACTTGGACTGCCACCGAAAATCGAGAAATTATAAAATGTTATTACAAGGTGAACCCAACAGCCTGTGGTTTTCTAAAAAGAATGATGGAAATTTGGAAAAGGAAACACTCAAGTAGTGATATAAATGAACAACAAGTAATCAACCAGAGAAAGTTTATCATCCTGAGTAAAGTGTTTGCAGAACTGGAATTGCGAGAACGAGAAAAGGTGGCAAAATCAACACAGAAAAATGACCATAATGTGGAAGACAAATGGAGGGTAGAGGTATACACGATAGTGGAAGAAAACAGATAAACAGAGGAACAATTCATGGAACAACCCAGAAATTATGAGTTGACAGAATGGCAAACATAACTGAGGGAAAAAATAGTAACCCATATTAGCCAGAACACAGAAAGACAACGGCTCCCCAATTTGCACCAATTACAAAGTAAACCAGTAAAAGATCTATTGAATGATGCAAATGTTGTCATCAGAACAATCCCAACAAACATGCTAAAGGAAACAAACCACCTCATGTATAGCACAACTACCATAATAACCATGGAACCTGGTTACAAACTGCAAAAAACCCAGAAAACACATGGCACCCCCAAAATGGAAAATACATCCAGAAAGAAAAATAAGCAAATTACATGCAGACGTTAGCAACTTGAAACATTCAAAATTTAAAAATGAAAAAGTAAAAGACCGGCTATGCAAAATGTATGATCTAGAAAGGAAAATAATTGTTGAAAACTGTGGAAGAATTTAAACAGTGGGTAATATCTACAATAAAGAAAATTGAAAGATATGGTGGTCACTTGAAACAATATAGAGAAAACATGAAGTTTCGAAATAACCAGCAATTATTCTATACATCACTAGGAGAAAATGCAGAGAGAAGAAAAAAATATTTATATTATTTATTTATTTATTTATTTATTTATTTATTTATCTATCTATCTATCTATCTATCTATCTATCTATCTATCTATCTATCTATCTATCTATCTATCTATCTATCTATCTAT